GGGGACACCTATTGGATATTTATGACTGTGTGCAGCAGTGAACAGCCATCCTCCAAGACTGCTTGTGGACCAGGGTATGAAGTTACATCTGCCCCCTGCCCTATCTTCACGCTGACTAAACCCCTGTTAGCAGAGGTTCCCACCACTCTGGCAGATGGCCTGTCAGCTGATTAATGGTGTGTGAAACTTCAGTACACAAGGGAATGCCACTCCAGATGAAGCCTTCAGCTGGAAAGAGAATCTTAGTCTACATCTTCAAAGGTGACATTTTTCTCTCCTGTTTTAAGAAAGCAGTCTTAGTTACCTGTAGCAGCAGTTTGAAGTGAAAATCAGCTTTGTGATGTAAGCACCTCCCCATCCCCATCTCTCAAAAGAAAACAATGGCTTCTCTTTCAAAGACAGGTCTTGAAAAAACAGTCATATATTAAGGAACAGATATCCCAAGTCTCTGGCTAGCCCAGGATTTCCTTTTCACTGAGATACCTCCTTCACTGTTGGTCTCCCATCCCAGAGCACTTGTGGCCAACCTCTCCTTCCTGTCCCCTAGGACCCTTAATTCTCTGCCCATGGGTCTGATTGCAAGGTTGGTGCCAGACAAAGACATTATCATTTGTACCTCTCTGTCAGCAACTCCCCACCGTTAGGGGGAGGGGTCTTTGTGAATGTAAAAGCCACTTCAGGCTTTTGTGTTTTCCTTCAGAATACTTGTGTAAAATACCCTTGTGGGTAGTAATTCCTGTAAGCTTGCAAAGCTGCTAACCAATTTTACCTCCCAAATTCTAGTGTTCTTCCACCATTAGCTATTGTAGACTTGATTATTCTTTTTCAATAGCTGTATTTAAACCACAAAGAGCCGCTCTGAGAAACAGAGGCACAATTGTTGCGTGCATGCGTGTGCACACACACACACACACAAAGTCCCACAGAATAATTGGGGATTAGACCGGAAGGAAACATTCAGCTACAGCCTTTATGTCACATACCTGGGGCTGCAGGCATCCGTGAGCTCGACGGGTTTTGTGACCTGCCACCAGCTTCAGTCTGAACACTGAGGAAAAACTTTTGTCTTTAGTTTAGTATTTGAAGCCCCAGGTGCTGAGGACGACACTCAGTAGAGGCCCAGCGGAGCTCTGTTGACAGAATAAATTGATGAATTAAACACAATGTTTTTAATGCACCCATGGGTGCAAATGAGCCCCACTACTTGCCAGCTCTACTATCAGAAGAGAATCCTGAGCTGGACCTTAAAGATGAGATTTTCCACCCCACCCCCACGCCCCAGTGCGGGGTTGGGGGGGGACCACTGTGCATATCCCCCGCAGCAGAGCGGCAGCTGGCTTCCCCAGAGAGCACAGAGCTGCTGCAAAGTTTGAGGGTACAGGCTCCATGCAAAACTGCTATGGAAAGAGAAGCGGGTTAGGGGGCTCTGAGGGCAGTGTGGAGTTTTAGAAGGCTGACTGGGGGTGGGGGTGGGGGATGAATCTGATCCAAAGGCAGTGAGTGACTCTGGTCAAAAGGCACAGGAAGACTAGATGGGGAGGAGGTTGTGGTGGGGTGGGGGTTGGGGGGGTGGGGGGGGGGGGGGTGGGGGGAGTGTCAGTTCCTGGGAGGGGTGGAGGGAGTGTCAGTTCCGCTGCCTGGGTCCCACCCAGCACCTGTGCAGCAGGGTCAGCCCTTTATAAATGTCCTCCTATTATTTTTGTGGTGGTTGTTATTGTTGTTAGTTCTTTTTATCTCTGATTCTCCCATCAGTTAACGGTGCAGCTGGTCCTGAATCCGGTCTTCTGATCCCTCAGCTTTTCTCTTTTTAATGCATCAACTCTCCCATCATCTCATTCAAGAGTTTTGGGGTTTAGGTTCACTTCTCTTTTTTAAACTTTTTTTCTTCTTTATTAGATATTTTATTTACATTTCAGATGCTATCCCCTTTCCCCATTCCCCCCCAACCCAGAAACCCCATATCCCATCCCCCTTCCTCCTGCTTCTATAAGGATGTTCCCCCACCCACCCACCCACTTCCACCTCCCTGCCCTTGAATTCCCCCATACTGGGGCATCCACCCTTCATGGGGCCAACGTCCTCTCCCACCTATGCCTGACAAGGGCTTTGTCGGGCATAGGGGGGGTCACTTCTTAAGCTACAGTTTGCTCTGTCTTGAATCCTAGTTTCCAGCTCACTCTGTATCCGGAGATACAGAGAAGGCATAATCTTTCCTAAAGAAGCGCTTTGGAGGTATAAGATCAATAGGCTCTACTGTGAGGAGCGCCCACAGAGGCTCCCTTTGCTATGCAAAGCTAGGATTTTCACAAAGTGCTGGTGATGCCTGCTCTGGCATTTCTGCTCATTTGCCATGGGAGTTCAGCTCTAAAGCTTTTCTGATGCAATTAACACAGATACTCGTTTGAGTTTCTTCATAACTGATCTTTCAATGTTTTAAACCCCTGGTTGGAAGTGCTAACTATACCCAGTTCATGTCACGGATGACGTAAAACTACCAAGTTCTTATTATTTTAGGCCTCAAGGCCACCCAGTTGTAGTTCACAGAGATCTTCCCTTGTCATTGTTGTGCTCTGAGTCCTTCCTTTCCACCCTGGTGCTGAAGGCACCACATAATCCAGTTCTGACTCCCCTCCCCAGCAGGCACACTAGATGCTGCCGGCCTTAACATCACTTGATAAAGAGATCATCTGGGGGCCATTCAGGGGGAGGGCACAAAAAAGTATCCGGGTTGGCAAGGCAACCTGTGGCCCTGGAGTTGGCTCCATGGCTACTTAATGGTTCTAAGCAAGAGGTTTGGTCCCAGGAAGAGGTAAAGGGGGCATTGTTCAAATTATTCCCACCCTGCCCTTCCTCAAATGCTCCCTCCTCTGTTTGCACACTATCGCTGAAACTTTTATTTTCCATGAGTTGTCAAGGGCTGTTGACAACCCTGAAACCCTCCTTACCACTGGGCTTGGTGTTCACACTGCCATCAAAGCCACCAGCTAATGAACTAGAGCAGAGAATCTGCATCCCATAGCCTCTAAAAGCAAGCTGAGGTCCCGGAGAGAGCCCCTGAGTCACAACTGGTCAGCTGTGGACTCTGTCAGTCGGGGGCAGAAGAGTACGACCTTCTGGGTACCATCAGTATAGCTAAGCTTAAATAAAGTGGCTGGGGTTGCTGGGTGTTTGGGTGGCATGTCCCCTCATCTGAGTAAAGCTGTGTTCACTATGTACCCAGGTTCCAAGTCTTTAAGTGCAGGAGTCACTGGAGATTCTGGGCAAAAATGAAGATTCCATGCAGTATTAGGATGAGCTGAGAGCCTGCCTCTCTGATGAGCTCTTGTGTAAAATGGATGCTGTGTGGACCTCACCCCACAGAAGTGGTTCCAGCCTTGGCCAACAATTGGAGTATCTCAGAGGAGCCTCCATGCCTCACCCGGGGGCCCCCCCCCGGGGGGGGGGGGGGGGGGGGGGGGGAGGGGGAGGCCCTGCACTTCAGAACTCTCCAGATAACTCCCGCCTGGGTTGTTTGTGTGGAGGGCCTGTGTTGATGACAACACTAATGCCTGCCATGTTGGGAGTCTGCAGAAGTGTGTTGTGTGTGATAGTGGGTATGAATTAACATGAGCATCTATCTTCAATTTACCAGCTCCCAAGATCCTGGAACCACTCCAGAGCCTTAGCAAAAGCCCTTGCAGCATCTTGCTATTCTCTATGACTCTGGGTCATCACTATACAGCTGCCTACCTCAAGCCTAGAATGGCCATGGGGAGTCAGCCTGTGAGCAAAGCCGGAAGCCATGCCTTCCTCTAGAGCAGGGATCTCAGTCGTGCTGTACATCAGATTGAGTGTCAGTGTGTGCAGGGGTGGGGACATAACCAGTTGCCCACTTACTCTCATGGGAGACCAGGGAGAAGAACCAGGCTGTGAGATACAGAATCTTTAAAAAATAGACTTAGGGGCCAGTTCTATGGATAAAGGTGCTTGTCACCAAGCCTGAGTTCTAACCCTGGAACCTACACAGAAGAAAGAACTGACTCCCTTGGCTTGCGTGCACACAAACATACATACACACTCACACACACACTCATACATACAAGCACACAAATGCACACACACATACAAACATACATACATACAAATACGTATACTCACATACACACATGTACACACACATACATATACACATATACAAACACGCGCACACACACATATACACACATATATACCCACACAGTATGCTCCTCCTTGCCCCCACACAAATAAATATGTGTAAATCTTTGAAATAAAAAAGAGATGTATTTGTATTTTCTTTAATATTTCAAAACTGGTTCTAAGAATGATAAAAAAGATTCTAAACAAAACACAGAAGTGATTTTTTTAAAGTATATATCTATTAAATAATTGTGCTAGAAGATACCTGTTTTTAAAATGGATATTCCTTCCTGCCTTCCCATACTTCTACTTTTGAGGCCAGTGGGCAAAGCAGGGGATACCTCAGCTGGGTTTTAAGAACTCAGTTCAAGAAGGAAAATGAAAGTGATTGTTGAGTTAATCAGGACAAGACTGGCTGCTGTAACAAAACCAATATCATTCTAGGGTCTCTATCCAAGTTTAGTGAACCGGTAGCCAGATCAGGAAGAGCCCCACCCCACCTCACCCGCTTCAGTCACTTGGGTACCTCTTACCAAGTAGCCCTAAGGCTTGTCTCCTAGGCAAGCCCCACAGAGGAGGGAATAGGTATAGTCTAATGGAAATCATCTCTCGCCTAGGCTAGACCATACACCCTTTCAACCTTTGAACAGAGCCCCAGCAAACAGTCTCTGGCCTGCAGGAACAGGCTCAGCCAGAAGCTCATTAAGCAACTCTTGCACATGCTAAACCAGAGCAGTCAAATGTAGTGGCTGCTGCCCTAAGAACACTTATTACAACTAGACCTGGCCTCTAAAATCAGGAGACGGGGACCACAGAACTAAAATGGTGTTCTGAAGGTGTGTGCTGTTTCCTTCTTCCCACAGATATCGCCAATGGCACTAGTTCAGGGGGGTATCGCCCACCTCCCAGAACCAAAGAAGTGATCATCAATGGCCAGACTGTGAAACTAAAGTACTGTTTTACCTGCAAGATTTTCCGCCCCCCTCGAGCCTCCCACTGCAGCCTGTGTGATAACTGCGTAGGTGAGTAGGACCTGGGATGCTGCAAGAGTAGCAGGTATCTGCTCAGATGCTAAAATGGAGGGGACCTGTCTTTAATTCGTCTACTAAAGGCTTGGCAGTGGCTAACATGCCAACACCTTTTCTGTCTCCGCTGAACACGGTCAACAGGCCTCCACTGGACACTCTGTTTTACTGTGGGTTTTTATTTTTTAACCCTGCCACACCCTGGACCTTCTTTCCCAGCAACTGGACCTTTGTTCCCTCTGGATACCAAATAAGCAGATATGTGAAATAAAGCCACTGTAGCCCTGGGTCTTTCCGTTACCTGATACTGGCAGAACACATTAAAGCAGGACTTTGTACAGTTCTCTACCCCTCCCCACTGCTTGGAAGTATCTGTTGGAGAGGAGGGAGGCCTCGGATCTGAAGGAGGGAAAGAGATAGAAACAACGTCTTTCCACATGGAGCTAGACCTCAGGCGGGAGGACAGGCAGAGGGAAGGTGCCAGCATGGAGGTCCCTGACTATGTATAGCCTGCTATTGATTCAACACTGGCTTCTATAAGTGACCTGGATCTGGATTCCAGACCCTAGGGTTTGTGGCAGGGCTTCCTCTTCCTTTAGACTGAGAGCTGGTATTCATAGCCATCCTCCATCCTAAATATAGCTCCCAAGAGAGGACGAGGACAACAGGGACAGAGTAAGGCTTGGCCACACTGGAAGAGACCACAGTTCCTATAGCTGGCCTCCACAGACGTGAGAATAAAAACATTGCCCCTTCCCTCGTGCCTGGAAGGAGACGGCACCCTCAGAACCATATCTCTGTCAGAAACACATTATTGATTGCCACCACTCTCTTTCAGCCTCAGGAGTTTCTAGTCTCAATTGTGCCTGAGAAAAAAATAAATAAATTTTACAGTGTAGCTCCCACCACACCAAGAAATCATATTAATCTTAAATTCACTTTATCCTGACTTTAATAATCTGTAGTTGGATACCAGGGCCACGTTTGTCTATATTCGTCTCGGTTTATATTAACTTAAATTTCTGTTAGTTTGTGATCCATTGTGGCAAAACTTGGGCTTTTCTTCTCCTTCCTATGTAGTAAGGAGACTGTAGTAAGGGCCCAGGGGTGTGACATGGGGTGGCCAGGATCCAAATGTTCCCTGTGTGACTTAGACAAGCTACATAAACCTTGCTGCTGTCTCTTCATCTCTCTAGTAGACAGTTGAAGGATGACACAAACAGACAGGCACAAATTAGTCAGAACCATCCCAGGCTTAGAGGAAGTCTGAGCTGCTGTTACCATTGCTGCTGCTGCTACTGTTACTGCTGATGCTGCTGTTATTACTGTTACTGCTAGTATCTAGATGTTTTTGAGTGGCTTTGTCTAGGGAAGTCCTTGATACAATGTCATGCTCTCAATTATGAAAACAGAATCCGATCCTGTCCTCCTTGCAAGGCACATGGGGTCCCTATAAGGCTATATAACAGGTGTAGGTGTGATTGGGTATCATTTGGGGCAATACCTTCCCTAGTGGCTATTCCACACCTTGAGGATATTTTGGGCAAAACAGCATTGTGGCTTCAGTGTCATCCAGGGAATAGCTGAAGGGATGAACGACGGGCAGCCTCAGGACTGTTTCTTAGGTTTTCTTTTTGACCCCTGGCTCTGGGACAGGATCTAGGTCTAGACTGTCATGTCAGCACTCTGTTTACTTTTCATGTTCTCTCCTGTGTGTGCTGGAGGAGGGGGCGCTGTTATACTAGGCTACATTTTGATTAAATAAGAAATGCTGTCTACAGACCTAGTGTTTCCTTCCTTATCATTTGTGAAATCTGTACCCTTTTCTAACCCCCTTCTTTCCCCACTTTCTCATTTGTACCCGTTTGTCTCATTCCCATTCCCTATCTCTGGGCTAGGGCTGTAACCAAGCTTTAAAAAGGAAACGTTTCCCATCTCATAGTTGGTGGTGGTTTGAGAATTCCTATTGGCGTTTTGTCACTTCCTACAGATTCATATTGTCCCAATAAGGTTCCACATTGCCCACAGGCACGCACGTCTCTTAAAGAAGCCAGACAAACAGGGTGTAAATCTCCTTGCCAAAATTATGCATGAATTTTCCCGGTTGGTGACATGATTTTTTCATAGTAAGACGGTTTGAGATGGTGTCTCCTCTGGTGGACTCTACTGACTGTGAAAGCGAGAGCCACCAGCCCACAATGGCAGGAGGTCATGGTGGCTCTTTCTGAGAACTTAGTCACAACAGCAGCCGTGCAGTCCACATGCAAGCTTGGCATCGGTCCACAGACCAGAGACACCAAAGAGAAAAGGGAAGAGAGAAGGTGACAAGGCCAGGGTGGGGTAGGGCAGGAAGAGGAAGCCCGGCCTAAGGGGACAGGCTGATAGAGCCTGTGAGGTTTGGTCCACAGTGCTGGGGTTTGATCTTAACCAGGTCTCTGACAGGTAAGGTAGCAGGCAGTCAATTTAAAATAAAGCTGTTAATTGTACTACATGCAGACACACATACATACACAGACATACACACAACAGAGACAGACACACATAGAGACAGACAGACACATATACAGAGACAGACAGACGGAAACACGGAGACACACACAGACATGCAGAGACACACAGACACATGGACACAGAGAGAGAGACACACACACACATAGACATACACACAGACACACAGAGACACACAGACACACACATACACACACACACAATGTTATCCAAGCCTACATACCCTTGGTTTTTCTAGTTAATTGCACAGCACCAGCCTTTGGCGTGACAGGCCACAGATTAGACCTCTGCATTCAGGAAATAGACCGGCAGGCAGAAGTCTCCCACAGAGGAATGTAATTGCAAGGTTGCTGCTGGTGTATTTTTAGATAGAAGTTTTTCTTTTCTCTAAACAGCTCTACTTTTACAGGAAGTAAAGAAGACAGTGGTGTGTTAGATGCCCAGGTTAGAAGACGGGCTTCCCGTCCCTTGCAGGAGTGGCTTTGGGTTGTCATTTTCCAAACATGGCGGATAATTGCCCTCTTGCATTATAATTGCCCTCTTGCATACATGCGTGCAAAGAAATGCAGAGTTCTAGGTTAATTCAGAAAATTCTTTTTCCTTGTTAAATAAATTTTAGATGAGAGGTAAATTGTAAGAGCTTTGCATTCTTAGTTGAAGGCTGAGGGAAGAGTCTTCTTGAGGGCCAAGTGCTGGTGCAACCACAGAAACAGTAGGTCCAACCGGAGGGCTGGGACCTGGCTTTCAACACACAGACCCAGGGCTGAAGTCTGGTTTCATCAATGAAGAACCTGGAAGCTGAGAAAGTTTTCTCATTACTCCCTGCTATTTCCAGCCCTATAAAACAAGGTGAGCCTAATATAGCTTATATGTTTTGTCTAAGGATTAAGTGAGGTTGTGCCCACTAAAGTATCCTGCTCAGACATTACACACACAAAGAAAGGGTCTGTCAGTACCGCCACCAACATCCCCACCCCAAGTCAGTGGTGCTGCGCCCAGCTATCTGATTTAGACAAAATTCAGAGCCCGGGAAGGGCTCAGTCAGTGATGTGTTTGACGCACAAGTGTGAGGACCTGAGTCCAGATCCTCAGCATTCATGTACAAAGTCAGGTACAACAGCACATGTCTGTAACCTCAGTGCTGGGGAGGCAGAGACAGGCAGACCCTGCAGCTGACTGGCCAGCTAGCTGATCTAGCAGAATTGGCGAGTCTCAAGTTCAGTGGGCGAGCTTGTCTCCAAAATAAGCTATGAGTAGTTTAACAAGACTACAGACATTAACTTGTGGCCTCTACACCTATGTATATACCAGTGCATAGATCCATACAAAAAGACACACACACACACACACAGGGTTCATCCTGGCAGGCATAGGCAGTACCCTACTCTACCAATAAGTTCTTGACAACCTTCAATAATAGAAGAGCGTACATTCATATTTTCTCTGTCTCTCTCCCACAGTTGTTGTTTAGCTGCATGTTTGTGTCTGTCTCTTTCCCTGAATCATCCTCCTCTAACTAGTTCTCTCCGTGTTACCATAAATCACTTACGTACATCTGGAGCAGACTATTTGAGGCTGTCTGTTCATCCGGGTAATCTTGGCACTTACAAACATTTTTACATGTATTTGTGTTGAAGAGAGCATGGGGTGCATGCATACATGCCGTGGCACGTATGTGGAAGTCGTGGGACACCCTGCAGGAGTCTCTTCTCTTCCCTCCTCCATTTGTGGTCCAGGGATTGAACTCAGATCATCAAGCTTTGAATCGAACTCACTGAATGATCTACCAGCCCACAGAATACTTTTAAGCAACTAGTATCCAGGGTCTAGATCTGCCCCTGCTCTCGGACCTCACACCTTTCAATCATTAGAGCTAGAATGATAGGATTAGCTAATACACACAACAAAAGCACACCCAGTGTTCTCTTAGCGACTATGAGCAGCCTGCACCCCTGCCCCAGGATCTTTTCTCTCCCTTTCCCTGACTGACAGCCCGAGTTCTTTCCTGGGCCCCATCGATACCAGAAGAATCAGGAGCTTTTATCACAATTACTGCTGTGTTGTTCTCAGAATTCAATTTTTAATTTTGATACTGTTTTATGTGTATGGATGTCTTGTCTGCGTCCCACTTGTATTCCTGGTACTAGCAAAGGCCAATGGAGAGCACTGGATCTCCCAGAACTGGAGTTACAGATGGTTGTGAGCCACTATGTGGGTGCTGGAGGTCAATCCCTCAAACAGTCTAATTCCAGATTGCCTGGTTATGAACCATAGAGTAACTGTTGGTTGTGTGTCAGACCCTATGCTAAATGGATACGGGGAGATGGTGGTGAATGAGGATCTTGCCCCATGAGCTCATGGGTAGGCCTCTAGACACAGGAAGTAAATGACACACAGGAGCACACAGGTCACGTGGGAGCATATGAGAAAGACATTCAGTGCATAAGAAGGACCATCCCATCTGAGTTCCACGGGGCAAGTTCCAGTTA